AGGTTTTTGCAGTTTGTTAACACAACTCTCATCTACACAGCTGGAATAGAGGACTGGTTGTTATTGTTTCTCCCATTGCCAGGGTAGTGGCGGCTGAGTGGTTAAGGCTCTGGGTTTCTGATCAGAAGGTCAGGGGTTCAAACCCCAGCCATGCCAAGCAGCTGCTGTTGGGCCCTTGAGCAAGGCTCTTAACCTCCTCTGTTCCAGGGGTGCTTTATCATGGCTGACGAAAAGAATTCCGCTGTAATGTATATGTGACAAATAAAAATGCTGCTTCTTCTTTTTTTGGCCCAATCCATGGTTCATTTCCCTTTCTGTTGAAATTGAGTCACTGGTGTCAATCTTTAGTCTTCTGGGTGGCCATTCTTTCTCAAATGTCTGCAATCTAGTGGCAGCGTTAAAGGTCAAGTCAAAAGTGCAAGTGCATATTTTTGGCTGATGTCATCATTAACCGCATTGTGATCAACTAAACCCCCTGAACACAACTTGGCAAAAGCAACTTAAGAAAATGAATGTGGTGCATGTTTAAGGGTCACTGTTTCTTGATCTCACGATATATTTTTAAAAAATATTTAGTAAATATTTACTAAATTCTGTTTCTTTTGTAGCAAAGCTATTGTAACAGTAATTTCTCACTAAGTAGGAAGAGCACGAGTTCATATTTACTGAGCAAAGTGAGTCAGTTCCTGTTTAATGATAAACTTAGAGTTGATACATGCTGCACATGCTGCCTCAAAGGTTAGTAGAAGGGTTGGTCAGGGCCCATTAAAATTCTGTAAAAGTTTGCAAGAAAAATGTAAAAGAACTACTGAGTAGTGATACAAAATATTTTTTTAATGCATTATTTTTAATCATTGTAGATCAAAAACTAATGTTACTCAAAGTGTACTTTGCCGGATGACAAATAAAACAATGAGGAGTGCTTTTCTTTTGCTTCAGCCGGGGCGAGATGATGAGTGGTGAGGGAGGCATGCACATCTTTAAATGGAGGGGGAAATATGCATGTTACATTGAGAAACAAAAATGTGGCAGATCTGTCAGAGAGCATACGTGAAATGATTGTTTTATTGATCATACAGAATGAGTGGTCAATAGAAAGAAACAACAACATTGCAAAAAAATGACATTTTAGCAAGTGGAAATATAGTCAAGTTGAATAAAGTCAAATTTATGTAGTATATCCTATTATAAGATTACAATAGACCAAGTATATTATTATTAAACCTATATCTAGAATTTTTTTTTTTTTTTACTAATTTCGTGCTTGAAAGAGTCTTTTTCTATTCTATTTCTATTCCTGGCAGATTTAGCAAAATTATATGCTAACAGAATAAGAAAATTATTCTATAATCATGTGTTGCCTGTTCTGTAATATGTGATGTGTATAGTTTATTTGTATTTGCTTATTTAATTGTAATGACCTTTAACTGTTTTCAAATCACATTATGTAATTATTTTATTTTCAGAGATTGATGTAATGGGAGTTTAAGATCAGGGAAGCTACAGTTATATTCTTTTTGATCAGGAGAAAGTAATAGACTCCTTTCAGTTGTTTAGTCTCATGTATACTCAATTTTTTTGGACCCCTCTTCCTTTGGAAAATCCCAGAGCATATCTTATTGTTTCTATCTGCACTGAGAGTACAACCAGGGCTCAGGACAGAGAAAAAGAACTAAAAAATAAGTGGGGAAATGGTATAACCTATAACTAACAGTATAACCTAATAGTGATCTATAAATTTAATCTATGTCTATAATTTATAAGCAATTTGCAATAGTAGTTGATTATAACTTTTACATGTTACTTGACAAGCCTGGGCATGAATGCTAAAAAGTGAAACAAGAAAGCTTGCCATCAGAAAGAGGAACTTAGTCTGTGTATAATTCCTGCTATCCCTAAATAAAGCACAGTTTAAGAAGTGTTTAAAAAAAAAAGTAAAGTAGTAAAATGTCTAGAAATATGTTTAATAATCTTATATATCATTTACTTAAGTCTTATAATAGGAGATACTGGATCAATTTGACTAGCTTCAAGATCTTTTCACTTGTTAAGATGATAACATTTGTTGCAGTGAAAGATATCAGTAATCACCTGCTGCCATATGTGGTACATATATTTTATTTGTATTTACTTATTTAATTGTAATGACCTTTTAGGGCTTAAGCTTATGCGTATTATAGAATATTGGTGGAATTATTTGTGCTGTCTAGCCTCACTCTTAGGCATGTGTAAAGTTTTTCTCTCTCATGATCATACTAAATTATTTCTGAGGTTTCTCTTTTTCAATAAAACAATTTTTTTTAACAAAGTAGATTTATTAAAATGGATGGTCTGAAAGAATGGTGTCTATGAGAACTCCACATATTTCCAAATCAATAGTAAATAAGCCAGTTTCATTTGCCATGTAAGCCAGTACCTGTGGGACTCTTACAGATAGGGAAATTTATGACGCTGACGCTATTTGAGGTGTGAACTCTGTATCATTAGAAAATCCCTGTTAAAAAGCTGTAGTCTTTAAAGTCCTTAAGAAAAAACTAATTAAAATAATTAAGCAATTATAGTAATTATTAAATGTTTAATTTGCTATGCTGTCATTTGCACACTGGTTATGATCAGTTCTATAGCGTATTTGTATGAGCACCCCACACACCACCTACATACGTCATTCAAGACGGCCCTGCCTCTGTGCGTCCTGTACTAAAGAGGACCAAACCTAATTTTGGAATTATACAAGAGATCTTTACATGCACTTTACTCGAAATTACAAAAACTATGCTTGTGTCAAGCCACTGATTTAGTTTCCAGGAATTCATGGGTAAAGTGCCTTGCAAAAGTATTCGTACCCACTGAACTTTTCCACATTTTGTCACATTACAACCACAAACAAAAATGTATTTTATTGGGATTTTATGTGATAGACCAACACAAAGTGGCACATAATTGTGAAGTGGAAGGAAAATGATGAATGGTGTCCAAAATTTTTTACAAATAAATATCTGAAAAGTGGGATGTCCATTTGTATTCAGCCCCCTTTACTCTGATACCCCTAACTAAAATCCAGTGGAACCAATTGCCTTCAGAAGTCACCTAATTAGTAAATAGAGTCCACCTGTGTGTAATTTAATCTCAGTATAAATACAGTTCAATTCAATTCAATTCATTTTTATTTGTATAGCACTTTTTACAAAGGTCATTGTCTCAAAGCAGCTTTACACAAACAAAGTAAAATGAAGAAAATAGTTAAATACAGCTGTTCTGTGAAGCCCTCAGAGGTTTGTTAGAGAACATTAATGAACAAACAGCATCATGAAGACCAAGGAACACACCAGACAGGTCAGGGATAAAGTTGTGGAGAAGTTTAAAGCAGGGTTAGGTTATAAAACAATATCCCAAGCCTTGAACATCTCACGGAGCACTGTACAATCCATCATCCGAAAATGGAAAGAGTATGGCACAGCTGCAAACCTACCAAGACATGGCCGTCCACCTAAACTGACAGGCCAGGCAAGGAGAGCATTAATCAGAGAAGCAGCCAAGAGGCCCATGGTAGCTCTGGAGGAGCTACAGAGATCCACAGCTCATCTGTCCACAGGACAACTATTAGTCATGCACTCCACAAAACTGGCCTTTATGGAAGAGTGGCAAGAAGAAAGCCATTGTTGAAAGAAAGCCATAAGAATTCCCGTTTGCAGTTTGCAACAAGCCATGTGGGGGACACAGCAAACATGTGGAAGAAGGTGCTCTGGTCAGATGAGACCAAAATTGAACTTTTTGGCCTCAATGCAAAACGCTATGTGTGGCGGAAACCTAACACTGCACATCACCCTGAACACACCATCCCCACCGTGAAACATGGTGGTGGCAGCATCATGTTGTGGGGATGCTTTTCTTCAGCAGGGACAGGGAAGCTGGTCAGAGTTGATGGGAAGATGGATGGAGCCAAATACAGGGCAATCTTAGATGAAAACCTGTTAGAGT